GATCATTTTTTATTTCCGACAACATACCCACACTAATTTACGACAAAACACTGAGAATATTGGTTTATCGCATATTTCCGAGAATATTCTGACGAAAATTATATGTCCTCGGAAAGTAATCAGAAACCCATCGTAAACTTACCGAGGAGAGTAGTAGTCGGTAAATGTCATCGGCTTTGACGATGATTTCTTGTAGTGTTATCTCAACAATCTTACAAATTAGTATCCTTGTAGTATATATAAACGGAATATTCAACCAAGGAACTCTGTCCAGTAATCAGACCAGTGGTTTTTAATTGATGCAAATATCACAGATGGACGTGATTCATATATGATGAGTGCATGCCACTGATAATATAGGCCGACGTGCATTCGGAGACCTAACCATGAATGAGTTCGATAAAAAAATCCCCCGAATATTTTATAGGATATAGGAGTACGAAACTTACAATGCAAACTCGTAATTTTTTAAATATTATTGTATGGTTAATCAATTTATATATGAGAGATATCATTATGAATCACTGCCATATTAATTATCTACCTACTCAACCACGCCCATTAATACGGTGGCTTTGGACAGTTGGACAATAAGAGGTTCAAGTCGAAAGAGAGTATAATATCAATCTTCCGGTGTAATGTCTTCAAACTAATTAAATACTTATCTTTCAAAAAAATAAACTAATTAAATACTTGCACAGTGTCACCCATTTTTAATGTAAGAACATGTACTGTAATAAATAGCATAATTGTGTAGATCAATGAGTATAATCGATTGGGGTTCAGTATAATCGACTATGCTCCTAGTCCTAATCTATAACTATTGAATGTAAAATTCATTTACGGTTATAAAATTTGATAAATAACTAAAATGTTGTATAGTATATATTTTCAGATTTTGTTCAAGCTATCAATGCCATACAATATATACTAGGATAAGCAGCGCATATTTCAGAGACCATGGCCAAATCTAAACAGTCAATTTCCATACAGAATCTAAGGGATACAGAATATAAACGGATACATTTTAAATATGTAGTGCTAATACAAGCATGAATAATTCTTATGGTGATGCTTTTAAAAATAATAATAATGGTGATGCTTCAAAAATAACAACGCCAAAGTAAACAAATTAAGCGATAGTGAACAATTTATCACTGGAAAGTTGGAAACAATAGTGTATACAATACAAGGACGATAAACCCTAACTTAAGGAGCAGCGCAATAAATGTGTGTTGACGTTAAAAAGTAGTGGCAACCAAGGATATAGTCCCACATGGTGTGAGTTTTGTGATATTATTTTTAGTAGGTGAAATGCGATAACTATGTGAACTGTATATGGTTCCACATTGATTGCGCAATCTAAAATGGTGGTTATAAAATATGAAAAGTACTTGAGAAAATTTCCAGATCTGGATGTTGACATATTCTCTGAGCAAACAACTACATTTGTTTATGTAAACTTACACATATTATATGTTGAATGTAATGGACCATGAGACTTCTACTAGTAGAAGTAAACACAAAGGTTGTTGTCCAGAGTAAAGTGTACGGATACAAAATCTAATTCGATAGCTTCTGACAAAGCATATGATTATGGGCCTAAGTTATGGACTCAATCCCGGCCCATTAAGGGTAAAGAAACTTTATAACACAAGTCAACCAGGACCAAACTCTTTTATCTCTTTCGGTTTCTCATAAATAGTTTACTTTTTAATTTCACTTTACCGAGAAAAAAAGAAGGGAAAAAGTTGAGGATGAAGGCGGTGAAAAGTCCGATCCACGCGGTGTGGTCATGGGTGAGGAGGCAACCACCGAAGGTGAAGGCTTTTCTGGCGGTGGTAACTGGCATGGCGGCTTTGGTTCTGCTCAGATTCATTGTTCACGATCACGACAATCTCTTTGTTGCTGCCGAAGCTGTTCATTCCATTGGGATCTGTGTTCTCATTTACAAGCTTATGAAAGAAAAGACATGTGCTGGTAATAAAAATTCAAACTTTTTTGCTTAATTGTGTGTTTTCGAAAATCCAATTTTAGGGTTTTGGAATTAGGTTTTGTGGAATCAGCATTGTTGTAATCACTGTTGAGCTAAGCAATTTTAGGGTTTTTGAATTGGCTTTTGTGGAATCATCAATCACTGTTGAGCTAAGCAATTTAGGGTTTTTGAATGTGCTTTTGTGAATCATCAATCACTGTTGAGCTAAGCAATTTAGGGTTTTTGAATGTGCTTTTGTGGAATCAGCATCGTCGTAATCATTGTTGAGCTAAGCAATTTAGAGGTTTTGAATTAGCTTTTGTGGAATCATCAATCACTGTTGAGCTAAGCAATTTAGGGTTTTTGAATTAGCTTTTGTGGAATCATCAATCACTGTTGAGCTAAGCAATTTAGGGTTTTTGAATTGGCTTTTGTGGACATCAATCACTGTTGAGCTAAGCTATTTAGGGTTTTTGAATGTGCTTTTGTGGAATCATCAATCACTGTTGAGCTAAGCAATTTAGTGTTTTTGAATTGGCTTTTGTTGAATCATCATCTTCGTAATCACTGTTGAGTTAAGAAGTTTAGGGTTTTTGAATCAGCTTTTGTGGAATCATGAATCACTGTTGAGCTAAGCAATTTAGGGTTTTTGAATGTGCTTTTGTGGAATCAGCATCGTCGTAATCATTGTTGAGCTAAGCAATTTAGAGGTTTTGAATTAGCTTTTGTGGAATCATCAATCACTGTTGAGCTAAGCAATTTAGGGTTTTTGAATTAGATATTGTCGAATCATCATCTTCGGAATCACTATTGAGCTAAGCAACTTATGGGTTTTGAATTAGCTTTTGTGGAATCATCATCTTTGTAATCACTGTTGAGCTAAGCAAATTAGGGGTTTTGAATTTAGCTATTGTGGATTCATCATCTTCGTAATCACTATTGAGATAAGCAATTCAGGGTTTTAGGGTTACATTCTATTTAGAAGGTTTAGGCAAACCACATCCAAAAGTGTATACCTTTGCTTGACTTTTTCTCGTGTATAATATGCTGCAGGATTGTCACTGAAATCTCAGGAGCTAACGGCGATATTTCTAGCTGTTAGGCTGTATTGCAGCTTTGTGATGGAATATGATATACATACGATTTTGGATCTGGCTACTCTGGGAACAACTCTTTGGGTTATATTTATGATCCGTTTTAAGTTAAGGGCTAGTTACATGGAGGACAAAGACAACTTTGCTCTCTATTATGTGGTAAGTCAATAAGAGTTTTGTACCATTCATGTCAGTTACAAAGCATTAACTATACACTGGTTTTTGATTTTGTTGCAGCTTGTGCCGTGTGTTGTGTTAGCTGTGTTGATCCATCCATCGACCTCTCACAACATATTAAACAGGATTTCGTGGGCATTGTGTGTATACCTTGAAGCTGTTTCAGTACTGCCTCAGCTGCGAGTGATGCAGAACACAAAGGTCATTAACTTTATTTAATGGGAAGATTAAGAACTGAGCTAAACTTATTTGTTTAACTCTCTAAACTCTGCATCTGTTTTTGTTGTTGTTTCAGATTGTTGAACCGTTTACGGCGCACTATGTATTTGCACTTGGAGTAGCAAGGTTCCTTAGCTGTGCTCACTGGGTTCTACAAGTTAGTGTTCTAATTTCTAATATTGATACATTGAAAGTCAGATTTTGGATGCTGAAAGTTAGCCTTATGCATAATGTGATATGTGTTCAAAAACAGGTTGTGGACACGAGGGGAAGATTGCTTGTAGCATTAGGTTATGGATTGTGGCCATCAATGGTTCTCATCTCAGAAATTGTTCAAACTTTCATCCTTGCAGATTTCTGTTACTACTATGTCAAAAGGTAGCCATTTTCACTTCTACTCTACACGCTATCTTACCTCTTTGTTTATTGCACTATATAGCTCAAAAGACTACAACATGTTATCTTTTGTGCAGCGTTTTCGGAGGGCAGCTTGTTCTCCGGCTTCCGTCTGGAGTAGTATGAAGTTCTATTTTTTTTGTTACTCCAATGATATTGCCAAAAATTCAAACCGGAAAGAGAGCTAAATTTTTTTTTACCTTTTGATCTTAACGTTTATGTAACGGAGAAGGTTTACTGTGTTGTATATTTTGTGACTATTGACTGGTGTTTCCGTGTTTTTCCTGCTGCTTCACTTCCTCTAATATTTGTAATGGTGATTGAGAAAAAATAGCAAATAACGAACCTTAAGAAGCTATTTTATTTTGGGGGTGATAGTGGGAGTTAGAGTTTGTTGATTTTAAAAGTTGATGGACTTGTTAAATTTGGAAAGAGTTAGTAGAAAGTTTTGTATATTGTAAAAGTTTGTGAAAATAAATTGATATAATGATTCTAAGAATCTAAAGTATTATAGGTAGTATTCTCAAAATCTTGTGTTATGAGTTCAATGATGAAGAATACAATTCCCAATAATACTAATTTTAATAGATTTAAAGAATCATTAAAATTTAAACTTTTTGAATAACGATGGATTGTGCATAGAGTTACAAAATCATCAAACCAATAACACTAAACTTGAGAAAATGGCCTATTTCTACCTGAGCAATTTCAATCGTATCAAATACAACCTGAACAAATTGAGAGTGCCAAATACGACCTCAACTACGTTATAATTCAAAAAAACTACCTTAACTTTTTAAAACGTGCCTAAACCTACATTGACCGTAACAGAAGTTAGTCAACCGTTAAAATGATAAAACGACGTCGTTTTGATTTCATTATTTTTAAAAAATAATATGCACAATCCGGGATTCGAACCCGTACCATTTCACTCTTTAAAAGAGACACATTTACCACTAGACTAAAAAAACTTTTTGCTATAATACTACAAATGTGCAATTATATATGCTATAATACTTTTTCATCTTTTTAAAACGTGCATAAACCTACATTGACCGTAACAGAAGTTAGTCAACCGTTAAAATGATAAAACGACGTCGTTTTGATTTCATTGTATTTTTAAAAAGATATGCACAATTTGGTATTCGAACCTGTGCCTTTTCACTCTTTAAAAGAGACGCATTTACCACTAGACTAAATAAACTTTTTGCTATAATGCTACAAATGTGCAATTATATATGCTACAATACTTTTTCATCTTCTCTAATTAAAACTTTGGTTATTATTATTTTTGATTCTTATAAATATATTAACATGCTTTTAAATTATTATATATTTAATAATTTTATTTTATACTAAAATATAAATAATAAAATATTTATATTAATACAAAATTAAATATATTTCATATTTTGTACCTATTTACAAAATGTCCATATATAAATTGTTGTAAAAATTTAAAACTTGAATGATAATTTCTTTTATTTTGGCAAAGTATATTCAACTTATATTAATTTTTACCTGAGGAAATATACTTTTATAAAAAAAATTGGCAAAGTATATTTCCTCAGGTAAAAATTAATATAAGCTGAATATACTTTGCCAAAATAAAAGACATTACCATTCAAGTTTTAAATTTTTAAAACAATTTATATATGGACATTTTTAAATAGGTACAAAATATGATATATATTTAATTTTGTATCAATATAAATATTTTATTATTTATATTTTAGTATAAAATAAACTTATTAAAGATATAATAATTAAAAAAAAACATGTTAATATATTTATAAGAATCAAAATAATAATAACCAAGGTTTTAATTAGAGAAGATGAAAAAGTATTGTAGCATATATAATTGCACATTTGTAGCATTATAGCAAAAAGTTTATTTAGTCTAGTGGTAAATGCGTCTCTTTTAAAGAGTGAAAAGGCACAGGTTCGAATACCAAATTGTGCATATCTTTTTAAAAATACAATTGCATATCTTTTTAAAAATACAATGAAATCAAAACGACGTCGTTTTATCATTTTAACGGTTGACTAACTTATGTTACGGTCAATGTAGGTTTATGCACGTTTTAAAAGTTCATGTAGTTTTTTTGAATTATAACGTAGTTCAAGTCGTATTTGACACTCTCAATTTGTTCGAGTTATATTTGGCACGATTAAAATTGTTCGGGTAGGAATAGACTTATTTCCCATACTTTAATGAGAATCTAACAATCTATAAACCAATAACACTAGATTCTAAAATTCTGAGAATCATTATAAATTTTAGTCCCACTAACACCCTTTTATTACACTTGGAAGAGAAAGCGTCTGAAAATATTGAAGTTTATTATTATAGATCACTGGAAATGAGTGACACTGCGAATGATGTTGGAACGCATAAATAAAGAATCACAGTTGGTACATACGAAAATACAAGTACAAAGGTGATGATTTGCTACTGCTGTGGCTGCTGTCTACAGCATTATTCATACTTGCAGCATCAAATATGTACAACATTCTGACTTTATTATCTTTTGTATTTCCACAGCTTTTCTTGAAAACAACGGCTGTCTATATGTTCTGCAGATCTATATATCCACAGTCCAAGTTTAGGAGCTGTCAAAATAAAAAGTATACAATTTACTTGAATTTTTTTAAATCTTAGTTTGTAAACAATAAAATTGTAGTTCTAAATATATATACTATAATACTACTGTATGCCATTTTTTTTGTCAACGCCATATGACATCTAATCCTAACCTTCAAATTTTTTAGAGAACCAACATAAAGAGAAAAAAGTATCTTCATAGGGTTTGTTCTTATGATTATATACTATTGTTTGACATGTAGTTTGTTCGGTAAAGATGATCCATTATTATTAATTATTGTAACATTGGTCTTTGGTATTGTTATTTTTATTGATTTAGTAAAATTATAATTATTATACAACTTTTGTATATATTAATATATTGTTTGACATATGTATATAATACTAATCTACAGCTAATTTATATCGGTCATGTTAAGAGAAAAATTACAGCTACAATTTTACAGCTAAAATTTTACACCAATAAAATCTAGAACTACATCAAAAAATTTACAGTATTATTTCTACAGTTAAGAAAATAAAATTATAGCCATTATCACTCATACCCATAGTCAAAAATCTCTAAGGATTTTCCCATTGATAAAGTTGATCACTTTAGTGGCAGTTTTCTCTAGTGCAGAGGTCACAACAGCCAAGTTATGTAAGAGTTCGTCTGCCATTGGTTTGTCTCTGTCTATCAGATCTGTCACGGATTTTAAAAATAATATTGGTATTTTCATAAGATTTGCAACATAAGCCACCGCAACACCCTGGACAATCCAGAGTCAACAAAAGAGTTTTAAGAAATCTGGGTTTTGGCTTATGTTTATTTACTTTGCTATACTCATAGTAAAAATGAAGCTCTTATAACATTACTTGCATGTCCTTTAGTGTAGCATCATTGGCAATGATGAGCGATTCATCTTGTGTGGACATATCCAACGAGTCACCATTAGATAACCTGCCACTTTGATAGCACTCAATCTTATAAAATAATGTCTTTTGAGATTGTGAAATTTGAGAAATAGTTTTTGAGTAACCTTCAAACAATATAAGCACATAATATATGCATGTGAGTGAAGTTTTACCTAGTGTTTGAAATGTTAAAAAAAAATCAACCTCGAATTTGCTTATAAAAACGATTCTTCACATGTCAAATTAAGAAGGAATACAAAAATTCTACGTAAACTCCCATTTAGTAGATAGATTAATACAATGGCTGATGAGATATTAGTCCTATCTTTTTTCACCTCGATTGTTTTCTTTAGATGCCACTTGTTTCATTGATTTTCTTTTCAAATTAAACAAGTTATTATTGTACAAAAAATGAACCCGTCTGATCTTGTAGTTTCTTATTAAGTATCTAGAAAAGGGATCAACCGCTTCAAAAGTACATGTATTGCGCTTATTTATTTAACTTTTATTACTTATTTCTGAAAAGAATTATATCAGTTTTCAAAAGTTGAAGGATCTCAGTGTGATTTGTTTTTTTCGCATTCCATTTCAATTTCAGCTCATATTTGTTACTCAAGATTTCACTATCAAATATATACTTGCAGAAGCTATTGAAAGGTTCCCAGTACACTGTCTCTTGTTGACAGGCTATGATGTGATTGATGGTATCGAATGTTGGGAGCTCCAAGACTCCCAAGGTGTAGAATGGGGAACTAATGGGTTTATCATGATGGAGCAACATAGGTGTCTTATCAAATCCGTAGTTGAGCTAAAGGTAATGTATGATATAAATATTATATATTGAGTTTTGCTAATTTAATTATTATATAAGGTTGATTTGCCACATTGAATAAATTCAATATGTTTTGTTTTTTCAGCTTTGATGGTGGAGTAGATCTGTGGTTTCAGCTTTTGATGGTGGAGTAGATCTCAGGCTAAAACCCGTAGCTGTTGACTCTTTTTCTTTTGAGATAAATAACCCAACTTTGGTTTTTTTTTTGGTTTTGTATGATTTTATTGTTAACTTGGTTAAACTGCTTTAAAAAAATTCTTATCTAACTTCCCCTAGGTTTAAAGTTCACCATGTTGACAAACAAAAGAAGTTCACCACAAGACAATCTGAACTTACACAACCATCACAGCTATATAGAATGGTAACCGCACCCAGACACCTGTGTTTTAATTTCACCATAAGACAATCTGAAACTACACAATTTATCAATAAACAATACGTACTTGCAATCAGTCCTAAAATAATACATTTACTGATCTATACTATTAAAGCATAAGTAAAATCTTTCTTAGAATTACACCCTTGATTTTTGAGAAAATTACAAAATCATATCACTAACTTTTATTTATTTAAATTAAAAAGGCAAATATTCTCTATATCTATGAGAACTAATACTTTCCATATTTTTGTCAAAGATAATAATTCTGATTCTTATTTCAATTATACTTACCTTTTAGTTTGAATATAATTTGTTTGTAAATAATAATATTAAAAGATCGAATATAGGTATATACATGAAGTTTTTAAAAATATTATTTACTAGGTAAGTTTTTACATAATATTAATATGGCAATTTTGAGTATTCAAAAAGAATTTAAAACTTCTCATAAAATTAAATTTTAGATCTAAAGTACCATAAAAATATAAACATAGCATAGGCTATTAAAAACGAAAGGAAACTAATATGGATATAAACATTTCATGCTTCAACCATATATTTGAATCAAATATAAACACACTAATTAAAAATCAATCACTATAATATTTTTTCTGAAATACTAATAAAACAATTTATAAATTCTTTTTTTTAATAAAAGTTATAGATTTAATCAAATTTTATTAGAATGAAAAAATAGCCACGCTTTTAAAGCGCAGATCAAAATTTAACTGTGTTTTAAAATAGTTGTCAACCAGATAGCTATATAGTATGGGAACTACAACTATTTTTTTCGGGCTGGGCAAATAAATCAAACCCAAAAATCCGAACCGAATCCGATCCAATAAAAGTGAATCCGAACCAATCCAAATCCGACATAAATACCAAACGGATCTTGTTTTATAGTATTTTGGGTTATGAGTATTATTCGAACCGATCCCGAAGTTGAATGGATATCCAAAAACCCGAAACATTCAAAATCTCTTCAAAAAACTTGTACCAAACATAATATCAATTCCTATTATGTATCCAAAATACCCGAAGTTGATCGTCTGATAATAGATGACTGAAATTGTCCAAAAACTAAAGACGACAGAAGGTATGTGTGTTAATTTTGCAGGTCTCTCTAATTGTTTATAACTTTTGCTGGAGTCTCTAATTGTATATTAATTTGTTTATAGGAGAAAGAAACTCAAGAGGAAAAGGTGGTCGAGTGTCTTTACGAATCAAAAGATGCGTTTATTGAACACCGTAGAAGCATTATCGTCAGGGGATTTGATTGTTCCTTCCCTAAGATGAGATCAAAAGCACATTAATAAAACACTTCAGTTCTTGCGGAGAGGTCGCCCAGGCTTCTATCCCCTTCCATTGTGAAACCGGTTCTCCCATGGGGTTTGTCACTTATTCCTCTAAGTTTTTGACAATATTTTTATGTTATATTCATACCAAAGTATTTACTCTTGTCTTGATTTTTTTTTTCTCTCAGATTTGCTTTTATTAATATGGTAAAGGATGAAGAGAAGGCCTTAACACTAGATGGAAGTTACTTGGGAGGGCTGAGGCTTGAGGTTACAATGGCTATAAATAGAAGTGAATACTATGGGTACACTGGCCATCTTGGTTGTAAACAGTGTCGTATTGTTTTGATGGAACGCTCTATGGAAAGATTCTATAGCTTTCCCACACTATCATTCCCCTCACCAGGTTCTTCAATTTCTCTGTTGTTTTTGAGTCTTGATAATATAATTACTGTTCTTAATTTTTATTTTTTTTTTTCGCTTTTGATATTACAGAGAACAATAGAAGCAGCGGTTAGTCAGAGTCCCTACCAAGATCAAGAAGTGTTGCCAACCAGCTACCAAAATCAAATTTGTTTGAACTTGCGCCATATATTTGATATATGTAATTTCAACAGACTGCACATAAATAAAAATATAATATTTGATTGATTGATATGTAATTCAACAGAACTTGGCCTGATACTTTTGCTTCATCTCTTATAGATCCTTAAAATTCCCCTCTGTACATCTTATGGTTTCTTCGTTCTTGTTGTAATCTTCAAGTTGATCAAGACGCCTTATTGAAGCTTAAGAAGCTGCAGAAACACAAGTCTTGTAAGAAGAAGAAGCAGAAGGGCTAATATAAACTTTTTTGTCCTAATCCTTAAGTTTTAGCTGTTATGGTTTGTATATCCGGAATTTTAAAACGTTCCTTAATTACTATATTTGAAATATTAATATGAGCTTCTTAGCTTTACTTATAAGACATTCGAAATCGAATTATATATATTTTGAGCCTGTGTATACCTATGATCTCTCGACATTTTCGATTGGTCTTTTGTGTCTGTATAGGTTGCGACAACGACATAGCATTCTGAGATAGATTCTAACGATCCTAAGAAGCTCAAGAAGGTAATAATTTATCTCTCTTTTAATTTTTTTTTGACCGAACTTTCTCTTTTAAATTTATTGAATCTACCTATATTATGTTTGTGACTTTGTTAACTATTTATTCCCTGGAAAGTGACCAATATAAAATGGCCACATTGAATATTAGGAGTTACAAGGAATAATTTTCAAAACAAAGAAATTTTGTGATTAGTTACTCATTTATATTCTTCTTGTAATAGTGAGTAATACTATGTCAGACAATTGTTGAATTAAGCGATCGTGTGAACGAGATGACTGAAATTATCCAGAAACTAGAGAAGAATTCAGATCTACTTGAGATGGTATATATGTATGTGTGTCTGTTTTGTGGTACTCTCTAATTGTTTGTTTATAACTTTTGTATTTGCAGTAATGGTACCTTCAAACTTCATAGCTGATCTATTTGTTTAATTTAAACCATTGTTCCTATATATAGGAGAAAGAACTCCAAAGAAAAAGGGGGTTGAGGCTGGTTCGAATCTAAAGATGCTTTTATTCAACACCAGAAAACCATTTTCGTTGAGGGATTCAGGTGTTCCCCTCCTAGGGATGATATAAGGAGCGCACTGATAAAACATTTCAGTCCTTGTAGAAAGGTTTCAAGGGTTTTATTCCCTTTCATTGTAAAACCGGTTCTCCCATGGGGTTTCTTCTTCCTCTAGTTTTTTACAATTTAAGTTAAATGCAAACGCTAAGATTTCCTTCCTCTCTGTTTTTGTTTGTTTCAGATTATGGACTGAGGCTTACGGTCACGATGGCTATAAATAGAAGCCAATATTATTATTATACTAACCTGTGAACGTTGTGGTATTGCGGTTTCAAAGCACGTCCAGAAACAGAGGTCTGAGAAGTTTTACAGCAGAAATAAATTTACCGCCTCTTAGCCTTAGGTACATTTTATTCAAACTTGGTAAGACATTAATTGGTGTTAAAAAAAAGGTTAGACATTAATTTTTTAAAAAATTTCTGTTCATTTTTCTTCTTGTAATTGCAGATGATATCGTAACCTTTGACTAGGTGTCCCTATCAAGTGGTTGTTTTGTTGTTCCAATACAACATACTAGCTGATAATCCGCGACTTGCGCGAAATGAGAAAATCTAAAATAATTTATCATTTTAAATATAAAAGTATTAGAAAGGTAAAAATCATAGAAATAAATATAACATTTTATATGATAAAGGATTTCACAGAATTTTGTATGTCTATATAAATTAAGCTTTGATTTTTTAAAAAAACTTGTGTATTTGTTTTGTTAACTTAAAGAATATTTCCTGGAAGTGAATCTTTAAGAGTAAGCAAAAACTTATATAAAATAAATTATAAAGTAAAGATAAACGAAACATTGGTAATATAATTATTCTTTTCATACATAACTTATAAATATAAGATAAAACATAAGATAAGCAATATAGACTAATAAAATATGAAAGAAAAAAATATAAGAAAAAACAAAATAAATTACAAATTGATTAAAATCCGCCATGAGTGTTGTAAGAAAATAAAAAATATAAATTATAAGAAAAATCAATAAATTTAAAATAGACTAATAAAATATAAAAAAACAAAAGTATTGTTTTCACAATCAAATAATACTAATCCTAATTCTCCACATAGTCTTGAAATGTTCCAAGTCGGCAACATAGTTAAAGCCCGCCATGAGTGTTGTGCTTGCAAAAATGTTTGTCGTAAGGATGTATTTAGAAGGAGAATGCGGTGAGGAAATGTAGATAGAAGGTCTTGTATATATATACAAAAAGTCGTAGCGCTAGGGTAAATAGTGATAGGCACTCGTCATCGTTTTTTACATATCGAAATTGATATTGAGTGTCCAAAACTTGCCATAATCATGTTTGTAATTCAAATTCGCAGCGGATTCGATGGACTATTATAAGAAACAATTATATATATTGGTTAAACGCAAATAAATTAAACTCAATCAATGTATTATAAAAAAACATGTATGATTCGGTTTTGACTGTAATTTTCCATTAACAAATCGTATAATATTAATGAGTATTTTTAAAACAGGAATTAGGTTCGTATTTAGCTCACAACATTCCTAATTTGACTGTAATTTGCTATTATCAATATCAAATTATATTAATGAGTACGTTTAAAACAGGAATTAGTGTCATATTTAGCTCAAAACATTCCTAAATTTGAATATTCAGAAGATCATTTCTCTACACACAAGTAATGCTAATTGACATTATATAATCGATTTTTGGAAAGTTCAGGGCGCAGGAATAAATGCTATAATTACATACTAGATTTTGACCCGCGCTTGAAAGCGCGAAAATTTTTTTTGATTAAAAATTTATATAATTGGGTTTTGTCTTAATTTAAAAAATGTTTTGGTATAAAATCAGTTCACCAAAATTTGTGGTGATGATTGTTTTTCATTACTTTTTGTTTCAGTTTTTATTTTTAGATTTTGGGTTTTGGTTTTTGGTTTTTGGTTTTTAGTTTAGTTTCTACTTTTGATTTTCAGCTTTTGGTTTGTGTTTTTAATTTTTAGACGCGTTGAGTTAGTTTGAACTGATATTACCAACAAACAAATCCTAAATAATCGAACATTTAATTTAAAACTGAAAAGGACAAAAAAAATTGCAATAGTTTATTTTGTAAATAAACAAAAGCAAAAAAATATAACTTGTGTTTTCAACTTTTGGTTTTGATTTTTTTTTTTAAGATTTGGTTTTTGGTTTTGATTTACATTTTTTAAATCAGTAAATTATTTAAGAAAAAAAAATATGTAAAAGTTACCATTGAAATAATAGACAATTTTGTTTTGTTGAAAATATTAAATACCTTTTGGGCCTAAAAAAAATAATTGATTTTTTGATCTATTAAGGTGGAAAGTTTATTCAATGTTTTTTGGAATTTTTCCTTACTACTAAGCCCAAAAACAAAACTATACAATTTGTTCTAAAAACAAAAGTAAGCCCAAACTATATCTCATAAATAAGCATCGGTTTAATTTAATTAATGGGGTTCAATTAATTATATGGCTTGTGTTATATATTTGTAACACTCTAGAAAGGATCCAAATTCAAATGACAACTTGTATCAGTAGATAAAAAGAATGACTCTATTTTAATAGAGTAGATGGTAGTATGCAACTCATTTTCGCTTCTAAAGATATGGTTTAAATAAATCTTCTGAGCAAAACTTATTAATTTGAATAAAATCTTCTTAACAGATGTGATTTTTTCAATATTAAAGTAAAAAACTATATGTGTGATTTAAATATCATAGGAAACACATTTTCGTTTCTAAACATTATATAATAAGTTTAAATAAAATCTTCTTAACAGATATGTTTTTTTCAATATTAAAGTAAAAGTAAAATAGATTCTATGATTCAAAGAACATAAAAACACATTTTGCGTTTGTAAAGAAAACCATTTTGCTTCCATTGGCTAAATTTTGTAAATTGTTAAATTTGAAATAGATCGTAGAAAAACATGTTTTGAATAAATAGTAGAAAAACATGTTAAAAAATCGTAGAAAAACATGTTAAATATCATTCTATATGCATGTTGTCAGTGCGTCGCTACCACATATTCAATATATCTTTGACACCAAATGTTCAAACCGATTGAAGCGAGGAGTAAATGTGTCATTGCCATTGCTATATCATATCATATACGTATTAACTGTTATGCGTATAATAATGTTGTGTTAAATACGTTAGGATGTAAATAATAATGTTTTCAGCAATGGTATGTTGTGTAATTACTCTAGTTAACCAAGTTTTTTTAGCTAAAAGAGATGAGAGAACTTGTGGAGTTGTCACGTAGGAAATGACATGGTTGTAATAAACACATGAAGTAAAGGTTTGTCTTTAAAAGTTCTCCTTAAATAATAAGAAGGAGATTTCGTGTGTGCTCAAAGTATTTGTATTATAGAATTCGTGCTATCTATGCCTAAATATTTAAAGATGAAAGTCTTTTGGTTTTCAAAATACTTTAGTTTTGTATTTTGGGATGCTTATTATTTTTTTTCATAATCTAGCTATCTTTCAATAGGTTCCCTAATTTTTTAGTGATGAAAACTAACTACCAAGATGCTTAAGATACATTTACCACTCTGTATATTTATGACCTTTATACAGCTTTAACTTAACATGAAAATGAAAATCTTCTAGTAACATGAGCAAAGCTAAACATTTATGAAACAAAGAAAGTCTGTGATTAGTTTTTGCTGCCTTTTTACTGTTCTTCTAATTCTATGTCAGATAATAGATGAATTAAGTAACCCTCTGGATGAGATGACTGAAATCAAGAACTAAAGAAGAATTCAGATCTACTGGAAAAGGTATATTTGTTTTTCTTATAAAGTATTTTTTTTTGTGTTTGCAAGGCTCTCTTTGTTTGTTTGTACGTGGAGGAATGATACGGCAACGTTCTAACACTGATGGAGTTGTTTATTTCAACCTTATGTCTACAGAAGAATAACAACACTCCAAAGGAAAAGGTGGTAGACTAGGACTAGGAGTGCTGTTTCGAATCTGAAGATGCAGATCTGAAGGTGGTAGACATTAATTTGTTTTTAAATTTCTGTTCACTTTTCTTCTTCTTGTAATTGCAGATGACATTTGTACCCTATAATTAGGTTTCCCTAACGAGTGGTTGTTTTGTTGTTCCAATACAACAAATTCCGTGTGTTCTCAAAGTAGTTGTATTATGGGATTCATGCTATTTAGTTTCATAGTTTATGCCTTAATATTTAATGATGAAACTTTTTTTGTATTCAAGTCTTTTGATTTTCAAAATAATTTTATTTCTTGTATTGTCTTTTTAGCATATTATTTTCCATGGGAAATCGGTCAATTCTACGATGTTGCTCATTGCCTGAAGCAAGAACTTGGTTTCTTAGACAAGGTCGTTCTAGTCTCTAGCAACATATAACATCAAAACACGAACTTGGACATGTTTTGCGTTTTACCACGAAGAGAAAGAATCTCATGGTGGAAAGTGGAAACATTTCTCTAGCACTGTTAATTCTTTAATTACTGTGTGCAAATTAATATTCAAAATAATTTACATTTAATTATTAACAACTTGTAAAGTTTAGCAACAGCTAGAATTTAATTTTCCTACCTCAAATCCTTTTTGTAGCTTAAAACAGTTTTCTATTGTAACCACATGCTAATCCAATGTCTTGAAACAAAAATTATTCAACACGAAACATCCTATCTATCATCATTACAAGTCTAAACAGTTCTTTCGAGTTTGCAAGTTAGTACAAGACCTTTTATTTATTTTGCGTTTACAATTTTAAAATATGATGAGTTACATCTACTCTCTAGTCTCTACGAGCACTGATAACACGAATTCACTTGAAGATTATTTGTGATTTCATTTTTAAAGTTTTATCTATACACATTTTCCATTAGTAAAAGCACATAATGTTTATACATACACACACGCAACTACAAACAATAGAAAAGTCTAAAAATATTTAAAGGGTTTATTTACCATGGTGATTACCAATATTCTTTGGACAGTACCTTACGTACCGTGACGGTCTTCTGGAACGGTCTCCAATGTAACGTTTAATGAAATCTGTGACCAAAATCATTCTCTCTTATGACTTGCGGCTCGTTTGCATCATTTCATGTCTTCTATTCTCGTTACGGACTGTTCAGCCAATCACTCCACATATATCTTGAATGTTTCCAAGAATCTCTCCTGCTTTTATCCTCTTCATCAAGTCAAGAGTCGACGATTTGGTTCTACGATGTTGCTCATTGCCTGAAACAAGAACTTGGTTTCTAAGATAAGGTCATTCTAGTCTCTAGCAACATATAACATCAAAACACGAACATTGGACAAATATAATCGAATTGTTGGGGCATTTATATGTATATAATATATATATATATATATTTATCGAAGCCACTCTTTCAGTGGGTTTATAAACAAAATAATGAAAACAGTACAATCCTAAAAACTAATCCCTTTATAAATATGGGTTTGATTATAATTCTACTTATTTGGACATTATAATGCTGAAAATTCAAATTATAAGTCGAACACTGAGTTGTATCCAGGGTGAGTAAGTTTATAACTGAAGTTTACATTCTCAAAAAAGAGGACCAATTGATGAACGATTGGATTTGAGTTGAAAAACTAATTCCAAAGAACAACTAATCCGTTCCAAAGAAAAAGAAAATGTACAAAATCAATGAAAAAGTGATTTGGAGTGAGGCATGATCAGTTGAGGCCAGAAGCAAGATGTACACTGCAAGGATTTGTTAGGCCACCCAGGGAATAATCAAATCCAAATTCGTAGTCGAACTTGAAATGAAGACTGGTTCAAGTAGGAATGAGAACAACAAATCTCTTCATCGTTCTTTCTCCTAAGTAAACTGCTAAGTAGCCTTTTGTAACATCAAGAGAGTTGGTGGAAGATGATGAGAACAATTTCACTTGACGAACCAGGATATGGTATGTAAGGAACCGCTGGTGATCTACTTCATGATATCTAATCTGAAAAGACACAAATCAACATGACCCCTTGTTCCTGACTTTTTGATGTCATGGAGGAGAAACTATATCTTAGTCAGTGATAGAGACTTATGGCTCTTTAGTTACACAACTTCAATTCCCTACTTAATTAAGCTAAAGAGAGATTTCGCATATAATTAATTAAGCCCCAATGAAGTACGACAACGTTAAACGCTAATTTCTCTGACACCATTTATAGTTTTGTTCTTAATCCAGAGTACTTGATATTTCTTACATATATTCAATTTTATAACAAGGTAACACATATCCCTTTTGATTTATAAACTAAAAAAGCCAAAAATTTAACAATTCTCAAAGTGTACTTTGCAAGAACAGGTTTCCCTTTAGGCTTGCGTAAGGCTTCACGAAAACTTAGCAAAAAACGGTTTCCTTGAGAAGTTTCTTATGTGGTAAGCAAATCAATGAATTCATAGAGAGAGAATCATCTTCAACACCAAGAGGATTAATTCATGGCGCCAATTACGTTGAACCTTAGCACAGTGCGGGTTTCATATTTAAACTAGCTTTTTTGTTTCAAGAGTTGTTGAGTAAATCGGAGGAATGGTTTAAGTTTAATCATCCTATAAGCGGCTTATAACCCCATACCATGTCATTAGCCTGTTTTAGGTTTAAAAGATCTTAGAGACATTACGAATTATAATACTATTTTAATAGATCTTTATTCCGCCGTGCTTAGTAAAGGAATTCTAAAGCATTGGCTTAATGGCTTAGGAGTCAGGAACATTATTTTATGCAAAATCAACATATAGGGAAACTTATAAAACCTTTATTTTGCACGGTGTATTGATATTAGCTACGTTTTTCAACGTAAATTCAAATTACTACAATATTTTAAAAGTTTTTTTTTCTTCAATCACAAGTTGATTCTAGAAACTGCTTAACTATAATAATGTCTTTTTTTTTGTCATCAACAATAAATATGTATACATTTAAGACTTTTACTTTTTTTTTATTATTATTTTAATTTTATTGAGTATAAGTGTGTTATTGTTTTTATTTGTAAAACAAAAACACCATAACTTTGAAATCACTACTAAAAACACCATAACTTTGAAAGACCATAATTTATCAAAAAAGAAAAAAACTTTGAAAGACCATAACTTATGAAAGTATTATGATAAAAAGCATATATTTTTTTCAATCAAAATCATTACTAATATTTTTAGGTAACTCTTTATGTATTTATTCTAAAATGGTAAAATAATCTTTAGGATTGAAAATGTTAATTAGTAAATAATATTGTATTCAAGAAAATGTTTTGGTGTGCTATTGTGTTTCTTTCACAATTGATTTAACATTAACAACAACGACATTTGAGTAAATAATTACAGTCAGAGCAACAAAATCGACGTCGTATCCGTCCCACACGTGTCAAAAAGGTGAAATTCGGTTTACAAAGAAGCTCGTTAGCGATTGGGTGGTGGGTTTACACATTTAGGGCTTAAGTTCGAGACTTTGGAGTATACAGTAAGCAGCACTCGTATCGAAATAACTTTACACCCTTATCCGCCGTCTCTCTCTCGATCAGTTCTCTTCTCGGTAAGTGTTTAATCCTATTTTGAGCTTCAATCCCTAACAAATCGTTCAGAAACCTTGAGAGAATCACAATCTTAGTTAAAGGAAACACCCCGAATCTTCGTTCACCGTAAGCCGTTGGGGTTTAGCCATCGCTCTTTAGGGTTTCGCCGTTACTTGATATTATATAGTTGCTACTTTAGTTTTCTTGTTGCGGATTCTGAGAAATCTCTCTTATTCAAAGACACATTGGTTTGATTTGGCTACCTTCTTGTTTTAGATAACGGTGTAATGTCATCCCCAGAGCCTTCGGAGAAGAAGAAGGAAAAGAAGCGGAAGGTGAGATTTACGATTATATAATCAAAATCGTCCTTGAGTTTTTAAGATTTCTGAGCTTTTCTATGTTGTTTAATTATAGACAAGGAAGAAACATCAAGATGAGAGGCAGCCTAAAAAGCCTAAGGTATATGTATCTACAACTTTGTCTTTGCTTATCATCTGGTGGTATAATAATAAACATCTATATTTTAAAAGTTTTTTTTTTTTTTTTTAAATGTGTAATTGTGTACAGTATTCACCTTCAAAGTGGGACACAAGTAGCTCTGAATCTGAGAATGAGAGCCTCTATCATCGAAACGAACTCGTTGTTGGAAATCTTCCTAGAAATGCTACCCGTAACTCTGTGTAAGTGAAAAATTTGTGTTATTTCAACATTTGTTTGGTTTAACATTTCCTATTGACTAATTTCAGGATGAAGTTTTTTAATGGCAAGCCTGATGACGCAAATGCTCGTGACCTTCTTAACCAAAAAGGTGAATTTGTCGACCGTCAAGGCGTGGCCAGGTTTCATTCTCGTTCTGATACAAAAGAGGTAACGAATATTTTTAAGTGGCATTTCGACTTTATTATACATATTTCTAAGTGCAACTTGTTCTTGTTTTTAGGGTCTGGCCTTGAATGGTAAAAAGTTCGGAGGAAGAACAATTTACGTTACACGGAATGGTAACAGGTAAATATTTCCATTTTGATTGAAATATTAGACTAGTAACTTTAATCACTATCTGATTTATGTGTAATTTATTGTGACAGTCGAGAAATAATGTGTGTTAGTGGTTTCAACAACCAAGTAGCCGTAGATGATATCAAAGAGGAGCTTAGTCGTGTATTCAGCCAACGTGGAGAACTTCTGAATATATTTCTACCAGTGGATAGTATTACTGGTTCCAGTCTTGGGTATAAATTCTCATCATACTTGTGACTTTTTGAATTTATCTATCTTGTAACTCTTTTCTTTTCTTTTTTTATTCTACAGGTTTGGGTACATATACATTGATCTTATGGAAAAATCTTACAAGGATTTGATTCAGTCTACCGAAATTGGTGGCGTTCAAGTTAATATCAGAGAGGCTAAACCTAAACTATACTACCGAGCTGAAATGGTAAGTGAATAAATTCTCAATTCTCTTCTTAAACTGTCTGCACTCTACTTTATTTTTATTACTGATGCAATGTTTCATTCACTGAGATACGCATGTTTCTTTCTAATATTTGCAGGAGGGTACACAGCAACCAGTCTTGATAGAGGTAATCATTGCGCCTATTTGTTTGACTTTGAACTCATCTTTTCATCCTTTGTACATGTCTAATCAGTTTTGAACTCGTTTCTTACATGTCTACTATCTAAGCAGGGAAGTGATGAAGAAAAGAAGTTTACTCTGAAAAAGGTAATGATCATCAATCATCAAGTTAGTAAGATGTCTGAACGTAGTTCATAATCATTACACCTATCTATTGACTTCTAGTAAGATGGGTGAAAGTAGTTTGTAATCATTATGCCTATTTATATACTAGTCCGTATTCATGGTAGCGTGATTTGTTTTCTCCCATTTACAGAAGCTATTACCTATACCACCCAATTTACACAACTTGGTGGCGAATCAAAGGAGATTCTCTTGGAGAAAGGATAAACCGAACTTAATCCCTGAGACTCGTAAACAACTGGCATGTGAGTTACATATATTGTATGTTAAAATAGTAATATTTTGTATGTTAAAATAGTAAGTTTTCAAGTTGGAGGATATTATTAACTTTTGTTTCCTTTTTGAAGCTGAATGTTGGGCTATTGGCCTTCACAAAGGTCTTTTAGCTTCTGCTAAACAAGCAGGAAAAAAAGAACCAGTTCCTACAATTGAAGAGATTGTTAAGGGTGTTGATGCTGCTTATCAAGCATCAGGAGAAGGGATCCGTAGGCTGAAGTATGCACTTCCCTTCATGCAGAACCACTGCAAGGAAATGCTTGTTTACCGCCGGCCTAGAGGTGATGATGTGGCCCTCTTTGAAGATTTTGAGAGACTTCTCATTGATGTTTCGACAAAAGTACCTGTCATGGTAACAGTTGAGTGTGTTCCAGGTTTTGTGCAGTTCAATGGACAAGTAAGTAACTTGTTTTTTTCTTTATTCTGGTTTATTATTTATTTAGTAATACTAATATGAAAGTATTTATCTTTTTTGCCTTAGGGAATGTATCGGCCAAATGATATTGACTGTTATTTGAGGACTTTCGAAAAGTTTCCAATCCATTGTCTCTTCTTGACTGGAAATGATATTGATGAGAATGGGATTGAGTTCTGGCAACTCCAGGAAACTTCTGGAAAGGAGTATGGAGATGACGAGGGTTTCATTAAGATGGAAAGACACAAGTGCCTGATTAAATCAGTGGTTGTTTTCAAGGTAAGCTTTTAATATATTTTTTGTATATTAACGTTTAGTATATTAAAATAGTTGTATCGTTTATTGATATATATCATGTTTTGGTGTTTCAGCATTGAAGTGAAGTGGAGGAGATCCTGGGCAGAGACCGTTATTGTTGACTTTTTTTCTAAGATGTTTATATGCAAACTTTGTTTTGTAACCAACTTTTCTTTTTGTACTGTCTAAACATTGAGATAGTTGTCATGACAAAAAAAAAACACATTGCGATAACTGAATTATCATTATCAGAAATTAGTATCATAACATGTTTCGTTAAGCTCTTAACGAGTACAGAGAGAGAGAGAAGGGATTGAGAGATTAAGTCTCTTTTTGTTTTTCGATTGTAAGATATTCGATCAACTGATCGATTTTAGCTTCCGGTAGCGGATATACTCTTAGCTTTGGCGACTTTTTGTGTTTTTTCAAACTGAAACAAAGCTGTTATTTACTTTCTTCATCATCTATCTTGGTTCAGTTTGAATATAATAAAGTTCCGATCTTGATTAATCGGATCTCAACTTTCCGATGATTTGGAAATCAATCGTTTATGCTGGTTATGCCTTTCTTCTTCTTCTTCTTCAACTTCTTAAGTAGTTTGTAAGAAGTTTGAATGGATTGTTGATTTTACTTGGATCAAGTTGAATTGGGTTTTAGTAAAGTTGGGGCTTTTCCGGTGAAAAGTGTCTGATATGCTGTCAAGGGTTTATACGAGGAAGAGGAAGAGCAGAGAGGAGGAATTAGGAGGGAGTAAGGAAGTTACAGGGTCTGAGACGAAAGGAGTTGCAGAAGTGACTTGATGACTTGGCTGGCAGTTATACAAGTTGTTACGAGTTGTTAGAGAGTTTGTTACTGAGCCTCGTTACTATATAAGAGGACTCAGAGTCATTTAGTATTCTTTAGTTGATTGTTGAGTCTTGACTCTTATGGAGCAAGCATTGTATTCAGTTACATTGGCTTAATCTCTAGTTTACAGAGATTAAGAGAGGGAGGTTGGGAGGATTGTTAATAATACATACAAGTTCTATCAAATTGGTGCTGGTGAGCGATCTGGATCGAACGATCGCGAAAACGATGACGAAGAACACGAGACAAGGCGGCGATAGTCATTCCGAACCTCTGGTGACCTTGGATGTACTATCGTCGACGTTACGGGAGCATACGACGACGCCGATCGAGATTAATCGTCGATTCACGGAGTCGTTCTGCGAATTGGAGAAAAACGCGAAATCGATGGAGGCGAGAATTGAGGCCTCGATCGAAGCGAAGATTGAGAGATGCTATGAGAAGATGTGTGACAGATTGGAGAAGAAGTTATCGAAGAGCATTGAAGTACCAGAAGATTCGCCTCCGCCTTATCGTCATCCTAACTATCAGGTAAATCATTCAAACTCGGAACCTGGCCGTAGTTATAGACCTGAGGAGATGATGAATCGCCATTCTGTAGTAGCAAATAGGGATAAAATGTTGAAGAGAGTAGAACTTCCTATTTTTGATGGAGATGATGCGTATGGATGGTTTGCTTTGGCGGAGAGATTTTTCAGGATTGGAGGTTATGATGATCGTGCGAAGCTGGAAATTGTTTCTGTCAGTTTATCTGGGGATGTTCTCAGCTGTTTTAACAGTGAGATGCATCGCGTCGGGTTTGGAAGCTGGATTGAGTTTAAGGAGAAGTTGATTTCGCGGTTCAGTAAGGAAAAGTTACGTGATCCAAGTCAGCCTTTTTTTTCGGTGAAACAAACTGGCACGGTGGCTCAATATATTCACAAGTTTGAGGATTTATCTCCACAAGTGACAGGGTTGACAGAGCGTCAGCTAGAAGGGATATTCATGAATGGTCTGAAGCCGGAGATGAGAGAAGTAGTCACAATGTGTAAACCAAATGATCTTCCAGAGATGATTGCTACTGCTTACCAAATGGAGGATAGTGTTTTGTATCGAGTGGTCTGCAAAGAGAAGCAATTAGAGAGGCAGAACAAAGCACGACCTTTGAGTGCTAAACCGTATGCGAACTCAAAACAGAGCTCTCCTTGGAACTCTAAATCTCAACAGAGTAAACAAGCTGAAAGTTCAAATACGAAGCCTCCACTGCGTCTCACAGAAGCTCAAATTGCGGAGAAAAAGCGATTAAACTTGTGTTTCACTTGTGACGAGAAGTGGTCGAGACAACATTGGTGTCCAAATAGAGCGTTGCAAGTGCTAACTGTCATTAATGGAGTGGAAATGGAGATACGTGATCAGTCTCTGATCGACGTCGAGGAAGAAGAAGAAGCTACAGATACAACTCTAATGGGGTTATCATTGAACTCCTTCTTGGGATTGTCTTCTCCAACAACGACAAAACTCAAGGGGACGTTAAAGAAGAATCAGGTAGTGGTGATGATTGATAGTGGAGCCACACACAATTTTATATCACCATCTACAGTGGAGAAAAGCAAATTGAAAGAAGAAGCTACAGATACAACTCTAATGGGGTTATCATTGAACTCCTTCTTGGGATTGTCTTCTCCAACAACGACAAAACTCAAGGGGACGTTAAAGAAGAATCAGGTAGTGGTGATGATTGATAGTGGAGCCACACACAATTTTATATCACCATCTACAGTGGAGAAAAGCAAATTGAAAGTCAGTCAGAATCCAAACTTGAAAGTGGCTTTGGGGACTGGTGTGTCAGTACAGGGCACAGGTGTTTGCAAGCAGGTTAAACTGGCCTTTCCAGATATGGAATTTCAGACAGACTTTATTGTGTTGGAGCTGGGCAATGCAGATATCATACTGGGAGTTCAGTGGCTCAGAACGTTGGGTACCTGCGTTGTGGATTGGGAAAGACATGAGTGGTCTTTTACATTTGCAGGGAGATCGGTCACATTGCGTGGTGATCCGGCTTTACATGGTCCTGGTGTGTCTTTAAAAACATTTACAACAGGATTATCGGTTCATTCTAAAGGAGTTGAGATGGAGTTGAAAGGAATGGACAATACTTTGGAGGTGATGGAACCACTGCCTGAAATGATGAAGTTAAAGCTGCAACAGTACGATGAAGTGTTTCAAAAGCCAAAAGGATTACCACCTGTAAGAGGCAGGGAACATTCTATTGTACTGATGGAGAAGACTAAACCTATCAGTGTGAGGCCATATCGGTATCCTCATGCTCATAAAGAGGTCATGGAGAAGTTAGTGCATGAAATGTTGCAAGAAGGCTTAATAAGACCGAGTACAAGTCCTTATTCTAGTCCGGTCTTATTAGTGAAAAAGAAGGATAACTCACATCGTTTCTGTGTGGATTATCGCGCGTTGAATAGAGCTACGGTTCAGGATAAGTATCCCATACCGATGATAGACCAGCTATTAGACGAGCTCAATGGTGCTAAGCTGTTTACTAAACTGGACCTACGTTCTGGCTATCACCAAATTCGAATGCAAGAGAGTGACATTGAGAAGACTGCATTCCGTACTCATGACAGCCATTATGAGTTTTTGGTGATGCCATTTGGGCTCACCAACGCGCCTGCCACATTCCAAGCCTTAATGAACGATGTTTTCAGGAAATTCTTACGCAAATTTGTGTTGGTTTTCTTTGACGACATCTTGATATATAGTCGTTCATGGGATGATCATGTTCGACACGTTGGCCTTGTCTTGGATGTGTTTGTTGAGCAGAGGTTGTTTGCAAATAAGAAGAAATGTGCTTTTGGTCAAAGCAAGGTGGAGTACTTAGGCCATGTCATTACTAGTGAAGGGGTTGCGACTGATGGTCAAAAGATAGAGGCGGTTAAGCAGTGGCCTACTCCTCGGGTTGTGAAAGTTTTGAGAGGGTTCCTGGGCCTCACTGGATACTACAGAAGATTTATGAAACATTATGGCTCTATTGCGAGGCCATTGACAGAACTATTGAAGAAGGATCAGTTTCACTGGAACTTGGTAGCACAACAAGCCTTTGATGAGTTGAAACAGGCGATGATATCAGCTCCAGTTTTGGTACTGCCTGATTTTTCTAAACTGTTTGTGGTGGAGTCGGATGCTTCAGGAACAGGATTGGGTGCAGTGTTAATGCAAGATCAACATCCTATCGCGTTCTTTAGCAGGGGGTTGACTTCGAAAGAACAGCAAAAGCCTATATATGAACGGGAGCTTATGGCAATAGTGATGTCAATACAGAAATGGCGACATTACTTACTTGGGCGTCGATTTTTGGTCAGAACGGATCAGCAGAGTCTGAAATATTTGCTGGACCAACGAGAAATCACTTTAGATTATCAAAGATGGTTGACAAGGATTCTTGGTTATGAATTTGACATCGAGTATAAGGTTGGTAGTGAGAATAAAGTGGCCGATGGGTTGTCTCGTATAGATCACACACAGCAAGTGGATTTGTTGGCTTTGACTGTGCCCTCGTCGTTACAACTTGTGGATTTATATGCAGAGATTGCTGATAATAATGAGATTCAACTGATAATTGCAAAAATTGGGGCAGGGGAGACAGTTAAGGCTGGGTTTACCGTTGCTAATGGGAAGTTGTTCTATAAGCAGAGACTGGTTATTCCTACGGATTCTCGGTTCATTCAGTTGATATTGCAGGAATGCCATGATGGGGTAATGGGTGGTCACGCGGGAGTCTTAAGAACTCTACAACGTGTTAAAGCAACATTTTATTGGTCGAAGATGAGAAAGAGGATACAAGAATATGTGGCAGCCTGTGCAGTTTGTCAAACTCACAAGTACTCAACGTTGTCACCTGCGGGGCTGTTGCAACCTATTGAGCTACCGGTGAGAATATGGGAGGATGTTGCTATGGATTTTATTGAGGGGCTACCTGTTTCTAATGGAGTCAATGTGATACTGGTGGTAGTGGATCGCTTGAGTAAATATGGGCATTTCATAACCCTTAAGCATCCTTTCTCTGCAATTGATGTAGCGCAGAAGTTCATCAAGGAAGTGATCCGTTTACATGGTTTTCCTAAGTCCATTATTTCGGATCGTGATAAAATCTTTCTAAGCAAGTTCTGGAAAGAGTGCTTTAGGTTGTCAGGCACAAGGTTACGCTTCAGTACAGCTTTTCATCCTCAATCTGATGGTCAATCTGAAGTGTTAAACCGTTGCTTAGAAACTTATCTACGCTGCTTCGCTTCAACACATCCCAAGACGTGGTCTAAATTCCTGGTGTGGGCTGAATTGTGGTATAATACCTCTTATCACACAGCTTTACAGAGCACTCCTTTCAAGCTGGTTTATGGAAGAGATCCTCCTACTTTGATGGATTATGAGGCTGGTTCTACTCAGAACTTTGAAGTTGATGCGATGTTGCAGGAAAGGGATTTGTTCTTGAGCTCTATCAAACAAAACTTGTTACGTGCGCAAGCTCACATGAAGAACAATGCTGATAAACATCGTCGTGAGTTGGAGTTGGACGTGGGATCGAAGGTGTACTTAAAGCTGCGACCGTATAGACAGAAATCGGTCAGTACACGATTGTTTCAGAAGCTGGCTGCAAAATTTTATGGGCCATATGAAGTGTTAGCTCGCGTTGGGAAAGTGGCTTATCGTTTGAAGTTGCCTGAGTATTCAAAAATACATCCGGTCTTTCACATCTCGCAACTCAAACCAGTGGTGGGCAACCCGGAGATGGCAGTTCCATTACTAGAGTCTTTGAATACGGTGACAGATGTGTTAATTGAGCCGGAAGAGATTGTGGATCATCGCTATGATGCGTCTGGTTATTTGGAAGTGTTACTGAAGTGGCGCCATTTACCAGAATATGAAAATACTTGGATGCGTGTGGGGGAAGTCAAACAACAGTTTCCTCTATTTTCACTTGAGGACAAGCTGAGACTTGCGAATGGGGGTATTGATATGCTGTCAAGGGTTTATACGAGGAAGAGGAAGAGCAGAGAGGAGGAATTAGAAGAGAGTAAGGAAGTTACAAGGTCTGAGACGGAAGGAGTTGCAGAAGTGACTTGATGACGTGGCTGGCAGTTATACAAGTTGTTACGAGTTGTTAGAGAGTTTGTTACTGAGCCTCGTTACTATATAAGAGGACTCAGAGTCATTTAGTATTCTTTAGTTGGTTGTTGAGTCTTGACTCTTATGGAGCAAGCATTGTATTCAGTTACATTGGCTTAATCTCTAGTTTACAGAGATTAAGAGAGGGAGGTTGGGAGGATTGTTAATAATACATACAAGTTCTATCAGTGTCCTAACAAACAAAGACCTCAATTGTATCGGAGTCAACTCAAAGTTTTAATGTCCCAGTAATCTCTGATTTGATTCTCGTTATCTTCGGTTGAATTTGTGTTACACAAAGCTGATGGCATCTCCAACTTCACGGAAGAAGATATCGTCGACGGGGGAAGCCTTTCACCGGAGAGATCTCACCGCCGGCGTGAAAAGCATCAGCTGATGGGGTGTTCGGTGAGGTGTCCAAGATCATCGCATGAAAGCCACGTGTCTACTAAGTTCTTATTTTCCTACACGTACTAGACATTTGTATTTTTAGCTTACTTATTGTGGGAAAATGGGCTAGACAAATTGATGTATTGGGCTCTCTTCGTGTAATGTCTAGCCATTGGGCTTTAATATCAATGTCGAAAAAAAAGAGCTCTTACTTAACGAGTGGACAGAAAAAAATAGGGTTTTATCATCATTCCGAAGAAATCATCTCTTTCATCTCAACTTCGCTCAATGGACGGAAAGAAGGACAAGCGCGACGAATCCAAGGTAATCTTCTAAGGGCTTTCTTCTTTAGACCGTCGTGAATCACTTGTGACTCTACTTTGTTTGTTTCTGTGTTTGTTAGGCTGTAACAACCCCGGAGATAGGGTTGAGTGATTCAGATGTATTAGGAACGCCCAAAAACCAGCAAAAGGACAAGAAGCGGCAGAAGAAGCAAAAGAAGGTCGTAGTTAAACTTCTTGTACTGATACTTTTTTTGCTTCATCTCTTATAGATCCTTAAGATTCATTTTTCCCTCTGAACGTCTTATGTGTTTTTTTTGTTTTTTCATTATTGTTGCAATTTTTCAGGTTGATCAAGACACCTTGTTGAAGCCTAAGAAACTGCAGAAACACAAGTTGCGTAAGAAGAAGCAGCAGAAGAAGGTCTGATTTAAACCTTTATTGTCCTAATACTATCCGGAATTTCAAAACGTTCCCTAATTATTTTGAAAAATAAATATGAGCTTCTTAGCTTTACTTTTAAGTCGTTGTAAATCGAATTGTATATATATATTTTTAGCCTATTTTCGATTGGTCTTTTGTTTTTGTTTAGGTTTCGACAACCTCAGAGGATTCTGATATATATTCTGATGAACCTAAAAAGCTCAAGAAGGTAACAATTTATCTCTCTTTTAATTATTAAATCTACTTTATTATGACTCTGCTAACTATTTTTTCCCTAGAAAGTGACCAAGATAAAATAACCGCATTGCATATTTTTACCTATAGCATTTTTTCCTACTTTTTATTACGGTTACAATTACAAGTAATATTTTTCGTTACTAATTTGTTTTCTTCTTGTAATACTTATCAGATAATTGTTGAATTAAGCGATCGTGTGAACGAGATGACTGAAATTGTCCAGAAACTAAAGAAGAATTCAGATCTACTTGAGAAGGTATATATGTGTGTGTTTTGTGGTACTCTCGAATTGTTTGTTTATAGCTTTTGTATTTGCAGTAATGGTACCTTTACAGTCCATAGCTGATCTATTTGCTTAACTAAAACCATTGTTCCTATGTATATATAGGAGAAAGAAACTCCAAAGAAAAAGGTGGTAGAGTGCTGTTTCGAATCTGAAGATGCTTTTATTCAACACCAGAAAACCATTTTCGTTGAGGGATTCATGTGTTCCCCTCCTAGGGATGATATCAAGAGCGCACTGATAAACCATTTCAGTCCTTGTGGAAAGGTTTCAAGGGTTTCTATTCCCTTTCATTGTAAAACCGGTTCTCCCATGGGGTTTGTTACTTCTTCCTCTAGTTTCTAACAATTTAAGTTAAATGCAAACGCTATGATTTACTCTCTCTCTCTCTCTTTTTGTTTGTTTCAGATTTGCCTTCATCAATATGATAAAAGATTATGATAAGGCTTTAACACTCAATGGAAGTTACTTGGATGGACAGAGGCTTACGGTCAGGATGGCTATAGATAGAAGCGAATACTATTTTTATACTAACCATAAGGGTTGTGAACGTTGTGGTATTGCTTTGCGTAAGCACCTCCATAAACAGAGGTCTGAGAAGTTTTACGAAAGACATAGATTCCCCCTCCTCTCAGGTACATTTTATTCAAACTGGGTAAAGACATTAGTTTATTTTTCAATCTCTGTTCATTTTTCTTCTTCTTGTAATTGCAGATGACATTCGTACCCGTTGACTAGGTGTCCCTATCCTGTGGTTGTTTTATTGTTCCAATAAAACACAAATTTCGTGTGTTCTAAAAGTAGTTGTATTATGGGATTCATGCTATTTAGTTTCATAATCTATGCCTAAAATATTTAATGATGAAAGTCTTTTGGTTTTCAAAATACTTTAGTTTTTGTATTTTGGGATGCTTGTTATTTAGTTTCTTAATTTTTACGCCTATAAATGTAATGATGATACTATTTTATTTTGCCTTTTGCTTTATTTTCACTCTTTAGCATAAACTTAAAAAATTTTACAACCCGAGACTAAAACTGATAATTTGAACATTCTTAACCAAAATAATTGTCCAGTAGTTGTTTATTTGATAATACGTGAATGTTTCCCTCCGTACCAAAAAAACATATATTGGGAGGTAGGGGTGGGCACTTTATCCGATACCCGAACTCGTACCCGAACCCGACCCGAAATATCCGAACCGAAATCCGAACCGAAGTAGCAAAATACCCGAACGGGTATTAAGTTAGGAGAGTTTGGATATCCGAACCCGAACGGGTAATACCCGAACCCGAACGAATATCCGAAGATAACCGAACATATGTATATATACCTATTTATTCTTAGTTTATTTGTCTCATTTTATTAAAAATATTTATATTAATGTTATATATAGTTTAAGATTAGATAATATATATATAATTGTAAAAAAATGATTTGTTACTCATTTAAAATGCATATTAAGCTTCTTATTTCATATTTTAAACAAAATTTGAATCCAAAATTCAAAAATAACAACCAAAATAATGATTTTTATTTTCAATAATTTATTTTCAAACTTATTAATCGTCTAACTTATTAAACATTTTAAAAACAGTTAAGTTAATAGTTAAATTTAAAATACATGAAACTTATGTAATAAAGAATTTGAAAATTTTCTTTTAAAATCTAAATATCCGAACCCGACCCGAAATAACCGAACCCGAACTAAAAATATCCGAACCCGAACTAAAAATATCCGAACCCGACCCGATATATAAAAATACCCGAACGGGTTCTAAACCCCAATACCGAAATACCCGAAAACCCGAAATACCCGACCCGAACCCGAACGGGTACCCGAACGCCCACCCCTATTGGGAGGGCTGGGACTTGAGGTACTAACCATACTGGTAGTGAACGCTCTGGTAGAGACTTATGAAACCGTTCTCTAAGGTTTCCAGACTATTAATCTTCTTAGATACGCATAAGTAACTTCTTGTGAATATTTGTATATACGTCATTCTCACACAAAAGGAATGGTTTAATGAGTGTTAAAGAAAACAAAAAATGGTTTAGTGAGTCTATCCCACAAAGAAAGACTTATTTAGAAGCCCAAGCCCTTCTCAAAAGCCTTCTCACTAAAAGAGAACGCTCACAAAAGCCAGGATTGATGCAGTCCAGGGTTTTTTCACCTCTCCTGTGACACATGCAGTCTAGGTTTTTGGCTCTCCAGTTTCTATCGTTAAGCTAGCAGCGATTTGCTGTTTCTTTTTCATTCAAATCGTGTACTAAATTCAGAGTATCTATAAAACATCTAGAGTTCTTGCCTCTCACTCAACCTATTGAAAACATTGCACTTGATTTTCAATCTTAACTTATCCATGGACAAAAAGAGGAAGAGGCACCAGAAATCCCGTGTATAATCTCCTTCTTCTTCTTCTTATGTCTTTTTCCTTAAACAGTCATGAACACCACTTTTGAGTGGGCTTTTGTTTCTGTTTTGTTAGGTTGTAACAACCCCGGTTCCTTCGCAGATAGTAACGTCTAAGAATCACCAGAAGGACAAGAAGCTGGAGAAGCAGAAGAATGTCGGTTTTGAACTTCTTGTCCTCATTCTTTTGCTTTTAGCTGTTATACTTGCATTTATATATCTATAGCTATCTTTCAAAAGGTTCCCTAATTTCTTAGTGATGAAAGCTAACTACCAAGATGCTTAAGATATATTATGACCTTTATACAGCTTTAACTTAACCTCTTTTGACTTCTCTTTTTGACTTGTGATTTTTAAACCTAGTACTCTCCAAAGCTATTTTCTTAAACTCAAATATTTTTTTTATGAAAATGAAAATCTTCTAGTAAGATGTTGTACGCGGTCCATGTTTCGTTTACCTTATTCTATTTTTTCTTTGAGTTGCAAGGAAGCATTTGTGAAACAAAGAAATTGTGTGATTAGTTTTTGCTGCCTTTTTACTGATTTTCTTCTTCGAATTCTGTGTCAGATAATTGATGAATTAAGTGATCGTCTCAGCGAGATGACTGAAATTGTCAAAAAACTAAAGAAGTATACAGATCTACCGGAGGAGGTTTATTTGTTTTTCTTATCAAGTATTTTTTTGTGTTTGCAAGGCTCTCTTTGTTTGTTTGTAGCTTAGTATGTGGAAGAATGATACCGTAACGTTCTAACGCTGATGGTGATGGAGTTGTTTTATGTCTACAGGAGAATAATAAAACTCCAAAGGAAAAGGTGGTAGACCGTGAGTGCTGTTTCGAATCTGAAGATGCAGATATGAAAAACCCGCTAACGATTTTCGTTCGGGGATTCGATTGTTCTTTTCCTAGGGATGAAATAAAGAAAACATTGATTAAACACTTCAGTTCTTGTGGGGAGGTCTCTAGGGTTTTTATTCCTTTCCATTGTCAAACTGGCTCTCCCACGGGGTTTGTTACTTCTTCCATAAGTTTCTAACAACTTATTTAAGTTATATGCATACTAAATTACTAACTATTCTCTTCTTTTTTCTTCAGTTTTGCCTTCATTAACATGAGAAAAGGTCATAATAAGGCTTTAACACTCAATGGAAGTTACTTGGGAGGAATGAGACTTGAGGTTACAATGGCTACAAAGAGAGATGAATACTATGGCTATACTAACTTTCGTGGTTGTGAACGTTGTGGTCCTGCTTCAATGAAACGATTTGCGGAACGCTTCTATCATCGTCCCAGACTTGAACTCCGGTCAGGTACTTCATTTTTTTCATATGTTTTTATATCTTAATTTACAAGAAAATAACTCTCTTTAATTTGTAATTATTTTATCAATTGCATTCAGTGCCTAACAAGATCTAGCAAGATCAAGAAGCTACTTCTTTACCCGACCAGCTACATCATCCTTTGTACTCTAACTTGTTTTAGCATGCTGCTACTTGTGCCCATTATCTATGTCTAAATTAAATGTTGAATCTTTTTCTTATTTTATGAAAACTTGTAATTTCTTTTGTTTATGGAATTAGTCTATTTTTTCTTTTAAACTGTTCTTATATTTTTATTATTGTAATTTCTTTTTATTTTTGATTGACCATGGCTTTGGCAAAAATCATCAATCATGATCAAGTTGATATTAGGTTAACCAGGGATTGAATAATGAGTCGAGCCCAAAAATTAATTTAGATTAATGTAGTTTTGGGTTTTTGCCTCTCCAGTTTCTATACATGACCAACCAATATAATTTTATTTTATTTATATTGGATGCATGTGACACATGCAGACTCTAGGGTTTTTTCCTAGCCAGTTTTCATCTATACAACCTAGCAGCTAGGAGCTCTTCGTTTTCATCCAAATCTAATCCTTTACTGAATTCACCACTACCTAATTAAGAATGAGGAAGAGGCGCAGGGAAGCCGATGTAACTCTTCTTATGTCTTTCTTCTTTACACAGTCGTGAACAACCTTTTTTCCTTTGGCCAAATTGTAGTGAACAACTTTCGAATGACTTTAGATGGAAGTTACATGGGAGGCCAACGAGAGACAAATACTATGGCTACACTGACCATCTTGGTTGTAACCAGTGTCGTATTGTTTTAATGAAGCGCCGTAAGAAAGCTATCACTTTCCCACACTACGAATCCCCTCACCAAGGTACATCAATTTCTTTATTATCTTTGAATCTTGATAATATAATTACTCTTTTTCATTTGTTCTGAGTTTTCCCTTTTGATATTACAGAACACAATAGAAGCAGCGGTTAGAAATTCTCAACCATGGCTTCACACCACCGGTTAAAATAATTCAATTATCAATCACTACTAAAATTGATATAAAAAACTTGTCGACTATCAAAGCCTAGTATGTTTTGGTTTTCATTCTGAAATAAAAGAGGTAACATGTATATTTTAAATTGGCATTTCTTCTGCATTATATTTAAGTGTAGCATCATTGACAGAGATGCTCTCCTTTAACTCTTATAAGAACATGAGATTCTCAACTGACCTGCAGAGACAAAACCTGGATGACAATACATATCTTTGTCTATGGATCCTTCAGGACCTTCACTATTAAACTTTCTCACACTATCTTATACACTTGTCTGCTATTACAACCATATTCTCTCTACCATAAATTGAATCTTAATTTTAATCTTCAGCAACATAAGCGACCGCAACACCCTGAAAATATATGTAACTTAAACTACAAGCAACTGAAAAGCAAATATAAAACTTAAACCGTGATTGATGAAAAAACATAGTTTAATAGGATTTTCTCGGATAGAGAAACTAACTGAATAACAAAAGACTGGGTGAGATCATGAACATACTGAGAAACTGAAAGAATGAATGATCCTCTCCTTTAACTTTTATAGAAACATGAGATTCTCAACTTGACCAGCGGAGACAGAGTCCGAATGACAAAGCATATACTTGTTTGTGGTTCCTTTCCGTATTAAAATATCTCACACAATCATTCTTGAGATCAAAATAGACAGCAGTAGATAGTGATATATGCTCGTAGAGAGGTGTAATAATAATCTCACCCGTGTCAGTGGTGCGAACAGCGAACCTATAAAAATGTTTGCTATTTTTTGAATGTTGTAGCGGAAGGCAAAACAAAAGTTTTCTTGGACCATTCCTCCTTAGAAGGATCTTGTAGAACCCACAAGGCAATAATACCACTAATTTTCTTTTCAAAGAAAACGACAGCTAACTTCCCCTCGTAGCTTGTCAACTTTGAAAAGGTCCGAAAGGTGCAAGGTCCTTTGATAATAGCAAGTTTTTCAGACCTAACATCAAAACTCATGATTGCAGACTCATTTAGTTTTGTGCCAGTAAAAGCTTGATAATACAAAACACCATTGATGCACAGTTCATCGCTTACAGGAGAGTGATGAGGAATGATATAATTGTCTTGAATATTCATCATAGTCCTCCATGAATCCTGATGAGTTGATGATCTCAATGTCAAAACCAGTATCTCCTCAGCTAAACCGCGTCTGTTACTCAGCTTATGCATTCCTCTGATGATGCACAACACTTTATAGTCGTTGTTGATGGGGTCATAGCCTAAGTAATGGTTTATGGCTCTCCTCCCTGCATTGATCTTGGGCAAGGTAACGGATCGTCTAGTGCAAGGGTTATAGACAACGAGTTTGGAAGGTGGTCCATAGCAAATCAACCCGTGGACAGGAGGAGAAATTTTAGTCAGCTGTTGGGTGCGGATAGTCACATGGTAATAAGTGGCTAAAGAAGAAGCAGCATCAGAGACTTCATGTGCAAGTTTTAGGTTAACTTCTGAGGAAGCTAATAAATACGGTTTTCTGAATACGAAGACGAGACTTTTTGGTTTAGTCAAGGACTCATTCAGGTATAGTTTCATGAAATATTGACCGCGGATGATGGAAGACCAGAGCTTAGAAACACTGAGAAATCTGATTAGGGTTTTTGGTGGTAACCGTTTGAGTATCTCTATCATGAGATCAAGGGGAAGCGAGTACGAGTTTAGCTTCCGTTTGTAACCTTCTTCCTCGGTGTTTCCATGGCCGAGAGACGACAACGATGACTATTTGTATCACACGATCTCGCCTTAGCAGCAGCAGCCTTTTTCGTTTTGCGTCCTTCTCAATCCTATCCAACACACCAAATTTTTATTAGGTTAAATCCTAACCGGTTAAACATGTTTCCTTGTCTATAGAGGCCAAGAGCACATAGAGGCCAAGAGCACCCGCGATGTATTATCCATTTTTTAGTTTTCAATTTTTTATTATTTTTTTTTCTTTTTCAGATAAAAAGTAAAATAAAAAATAAAAAATATCAATACGACACGTGTTGTGAGGGCAAATAGTGCAAAGAGTCATTAATTAAAAGCCCTTATTTAGAATTTTTTAAAGATGAATCCTTAACTTTTTTTTAGGATCCACTGATTATTTATTTATTTTTTCATAAAAATTCTCCCTTAAAAACCACAGGGCGACAATCTTTCCGATAGTAAAAAATTGAAATTACGAAAGTTATAAAAACTTTACAATATACAATAAAAGCAAAATTAGTAAATAGCTAAATACTATATTGCCATATATTTGATAACATATTTTTTAAGATAAATTTGACTGTTTAATTTAAAAGATACAATTTGTCTGTTTATTTTTAACAATGTTGAAAGATGAAATACTAAATTAAAATTAAATAAATCAGATCTTAATAAAATATTTTATAAGGTACAAGAAAAATGCAGTTAAGGTAACAAAACGACGAGTTAAACAGGGTTTGGGAAGAAATTGAGAGTATTCATGGATGCTTTTTACCAGCTAATTACAGCTTCCAGATTAAAAGATAAGACAGTAACAAATAACAGAGACAGAATCCAAACTAAATAAACAAACAGAGAATCTCTTTGTCTGAAGCTCAAACCACATGAGCCTCCATCAGGTTACAACTATATTCTTCTACCATACATGAATCTTTTTCTTATTCTAAAATAAACTAGTTGCATACTCCCCGCGCAAGCGCGGGGCTGGGATTATTGTGTTTGCAATATTTTTTCGATTGTTGGTTTAGTGGATTCTTCTAATAACACCAAATAATAATGAAATTGAAAGAATGTAGTAAGAATGTAAAGTGAAAATATTGTATATATAATGTGTTAAATGTTATTTATATGTGAAGTAAGGTTTATAGGAATAGTTAGGCTATAATATAGTTTTTAGTGTGTAAAAATAGGTGTCTATTTTTTATTTTTTTTGCTGTAAATAGTTTTTATATCGTAGGTCAAACTTGATATAATTCTATATTTATAGTATTTATATTTGTATTAAACGATTTATCAATTTGAAAATAACCTTAATTAAGTTAATATTCGTTGTTTAAGTTTCATTAGATAGGTTTTTATATATGGTTTTTTGTAAGTTTGGGTTTTATTCATAAATGATGTGGCATTTTTATCTACGGCGTCATCGACTATGGGAATCCATTCGCCAGAGTCAGGAGTTAATGGTGAGGAATGTTTTCAATGAAATTATAGTAATTATTAAAATGTAAGAGAAATTACATATTCATTTAATAAATAACAAAAACTACTTAATATTTGTTTTTATTTTATTTTATTTCACATACAATTTTTGTGAAAATATATTAGGAATGTGTTAAATGTTATTTATATACGAAATAAGGTTTATAGTAATAGTTAGACTATAATATAGTTTTTAGTGTGTACACGTAGGTGTTCTCTTTTTGTATATTGTAGGTCAAAACTTGATATAATTCTATATTTATAGTATTTATATTTGTATTAAACGATTTATCAATTTGAAAATAACCTTAATTAAGTTAATATTCGTTATTTAAGTTTCATTAGATAGATTTTTATATATGGTTTTTTTGTAAGTTTGAGTTTTGTTCATAAATGATGTGGCATTTTTATCTACGGCGTCATCGACTGTGGGAATCCATTCGTCAGGGTCTGGAATCGGTGGTGAGGAATGTTTTCAATGAAGTTATAGTAGTTATTAAAATGTAAGAGAAATTACATATTCATTTAATAAATAACAAAAAATAATTAAATTTTGTTGTTTTTTTAATTTTATCTCACATACAATTTTTTTGAAAATATACATTAGGAAATCTGTGCAAGGATTAAATTTTTGAGCTCTTAATCTATATTATTCCAGCTTCATTAAGCCATCCACGTAGGCAGCCGCGTGTCTTTTTTTTTTTTTGGTCTGTTCATTTTTGGATCCATTTTTTTATTATTTTTGGGTTGAACTATATTATAATAGGATAGTTTTAAGGTTCTTTAAGCCATCCGCGTATGCAACCGCTTGAGACTCTTTTTTTTTTTATTGTTCGTTTTTGAATCTATTTTTAACTATTTTTGGGTTTGAACTTGTTAAACTTTAGGGTTTATCCAAGATCTTTAAAATAATAAGCCCAAAAAATACATAAAAACTTTATAAACAAAAAGCCCATTTGATAATAACCCAAGTCAAAAAATCAAAAATACATGATAGCTGCGTGGTTTGAACCCACGATCTTACATGCTTAATTGGACATCTTATACCACTTGACTAAAGTGTATTTCATTGTTCATAATCATCTTACTAAGTCTATAGGTTTTAAAACAATACCTACGGGCCCCACAAAACTGCTGACNACAAAAAGCCCATTTGATAATAACCCAAGTCAAAAAATCAAAAATACATGATAGCTGCGTGGTTTGAACCCACGATCTTACATGCTTAATTGGACATCTTATACCACTTGACTAAAGTGTATTTCATTGTTCATAATCATCTTACTAAGTCTATAGGTTTTAAAACAATACCTACGGGCCCCACAAAACTGCTGACGTGGCGCGTTGTGGAGCCTAAAAACTCTACTATTATTATATAGATACTGTGAAAGAAAAAATTTGAACTTGCGCCATATATATGAAATTTCAACAGACTGCACATAAATAACAATATAATATTTGATTGATTGATATGTACTTTGAAAACTAAAGACTCCAACTAGGGTTATTCAATATGGTGATACCGAATCGAAATAGACAATATAGTTTGGATTTGGTATATACCATATAAACCGAATGGATATGATTTAATAAAAACCGTAGGATTTGGATATGGTTAGGTTTATAACCGATTAAACCGAACAAACCGAACAAAACCGATCAAAGAAAAAATATATAAATATATACATTATATAACCATTTATTTTCTTGGAAAAGTCTTTTTATTTTTATTTTTTTATACCTTGTGAAGATATATCTTAATAATTTTATTTTATTTTCTTCAACTATTATCTAAATTTGATTTGATTTTACATGTTGTAAGAAATTGTGAAATTAGATTGTACCATGTAATTTATTTGGAAGAACAAAGAGAAAATAAGAAAAGTTATACAAAACTGAATCGTTGATCGTTTTGTTTGTTGTTAATTTCACATATTTATATTTATGAACACCTAGGATTATTTTAATAAATGATAGTTTTGACAATATGTTTTTAAAAAAAAGTTCATATAATATGAAACCAAATCAAATAATAATTTTATTTGGTATAAAACCGAATAAACCGAAAACCGGTAGTATAAATACCGAACCAAACCAAATTAAATATGGTTCCAATATGGCAGCTAATTTTTATAAACCGAATAACCGAAAAAAACCGAACCGAAACCGGACCGAACACCTGATTGAACAGGCCTAACTCCAACCGTTTGATCCAGCCACCAAATCAACAACTTATCTGCTCTGTAATTCATTTGATTCCGGTTTTGCTGACATGGTTCATTATGGTTCTGCTGAGACTGTGGCTGATGTGTTAACTGGCTGATGTGGAGCGTTAAGTGATGGCATTTTTGATCTATCAGATTCGTTGTGTCTGGTCTCACAATTTGCCAGTATCAGTCTCTGGACTTCCCCATTAAGTGCTTCATTCAGAGCTGCCACGAAAAGGAAACAAATCATTTTCTCACACTCCCTTAGCAATTGGTGATTTCTTCAAGTTAGTACTGAAATATCAACAGAAATGCAATACCATCGCGAAGCTGAGCTTGTTGTTCCATTGCTTGAAGACGAAACTTAAGGTGATCAACCTAACTTTGGTCAAATAGACGGTGCATGATTACAAAAAAATGAACCCTACCTGTTTGTCTTCACTCTCCAGACCATTCAACAGCATCTCCACTCTCCAGAACATTCATGAGGCCTCATCTTGCCGTGTTCCGTCACAGGAGTTGATGAACTTAAAAATCAACTTAGAATTCGATCATGGCTGTGTATTTGGTGTTGGTGAGAAGCGAGGAATCAAAGTCTTATTTATAGAGTGAAGCTTCAGATGTGAGACCATGATTATTCTCAATCTCTTAACTAGAATTTTTAGTTTTGGCTAAGAGACGGTTCTTAGTTTTTTTAAAAGATTTTTAACTAAGAAAAGCTAAGAATTATCTCTTAAATAACAGATATAAAAGTCATCTCTTAGCCGAAAAGTGTAAAAAGAATTGTTTAATCATGGGTTAAAAACCCCGGCTAAGAGACCGGGGCTAATCATGCCCTGAAGAGAAACGTCGTTTTGGGATGTAAAATAATGATGGAAGTCATCGCAATATGCGCTTGAGAGAGTTATCGACTTTCATTTTGAGGAGAAGAAGAGGAGAGGAAACGACGAAGAACAGTTGGAGGAGACGAAGAGGAGAGAAAACAATGATGAAGAACTTATATCGTTTGGTTTATTGGGCTTAACGGGCCGTCTCATCATATAAATTGGATAAAAGAAAAATTAAGCCCAACATTATCTAAAGTCTTGGTGACGTGTTCGAATGCATACTTTCTATTGGACGATTATTTTTACAGATATGGATGGCCTAACTAATGCTCAAATCTCCCTTCACTTATTGTATGTATGATATTAACATAAACTCATGATCAGGGACGGACGACCTGAAAATTTGGGGGCTTAAAACAAAATAAAAAATGAAAATCTATATTTACATTACAAAAAAATTTCAAAAAGTAAACTCATAAACATAGTTTCACATATAAAGTAGTAAATCACTGATAAAACATAAATTTCATACACAAAAAAAACTAATAAACTGATAGGAAACATAAGTCTTAACTTTGTGGAGGTTTTCATTGAGCAACAAACAAAAAGAAGTGCAAGATTCCAAGAACAAAAAAAATCACGTTTGTCCAAAACTTTTTTTAACTTTGTGGAATTTCATTGGGCTATTGCATTACTGAATTATTTGACCCATTAAAAGGAATTTCAGTTTTTAGCCAACGTGATCTCTCTCATTTTATTTTTTTATGTGATTAATGTATATTGGATTTTTTTTTAAATGGGACCTATAAAAATGAAAATCCAAAACAAATGTTTTAATGGGCTTGGCCCAAAGCCAACCCTACTCATGGTGTAAACATCGCATAATTATTCGTGTGTTAATTAATTTTTAGACAATCTATACTATTAAAACACAAGGCCTTTTTTGAGGTGCCCTTGGTTTTCAATATTAATTACAACCAAATGCCACTACATTATGTTTTAATCTATGTTTTATATTAAAGTGATTTTTTAAATTAAAAATAAAAATAAAAATGTTTCCCACTTATTGTGCTAACAAATGTAATCTCTTATTTATCTTTATAATATTATACTATTGCAGATAAAAAGATTCGAATATTAACCGCGCCACAACCTATGTTATCATTTGTACTACATTTTTCTTTACACGATATTTAGGAGTGAAATCTG